TCCTCGCAACAGAGAATCGAACCACGTCACTGAAAAAGCCAGTCTCCTCAGAATCGTTCCAGCTCATCAACCACTTCATATTCCTGGACCCACACGAACTGAGTGTGAGAACAAATGCTTTAGTTGGCAGGTCGAGCATTTCGTGACCTGCTAACCACAACGCAGTTCCGTGGATGAAATTTATGGGCGCTAAAGACATCTATTATTATTATTATTTAGTGTTCTGTCTGACGACAGGTCCATATAAACAGGATCCTTCCATCCTTTTCTCGGACTGGGACCTGTTCATATACGTTCTTGGCAGATGATCCAGAAGTGGTTTGCCATTGCCTTCTTCTGTGTGTGAATGGAGTAATTGTTGGGATGCCACGGAGGAAAACTCCGTGTTGCCTAGACCACGGCCTTGCCCAACACAAGTTATAAATTCGGGCATCGAACCCGAGACCCCAGGATTACAAGGCCAGCGTTCTAACCGCTAGACCACCTTGGCTGTGCTTAATTAAGTACGAAAGATAATTTCATCTTCGTCATCAGCAAGGTTTTGGGGCCGATCCCCCTCGCCGACACCGATCGAAAATCAAATAATTAAGAGACGACGTTGGATTACGTTTTGTTTCCGAGTCCTGTTTCGAGGGACAGGCTCCCTCAGCCATGCTTTTTTGCAGTCTGATCTAGTTTGGGTATCGAATCTGCATGAATAAGCGTGAATAAGTCGGCAAACAAACAAACAAACAGCTGACTGAGCGCAATGCACTGATTATTGGCTTCTTTCGACACCGAATTCTTCGTTTTAAGGATGCAGTTTCATTGTTCGCTTGTACGTACTAACCCAGATGAAACCCTTAAGTATGTCACACACAGAACTTCATCGCATTGCGTCCTCCTGTTTTCTTAATCCTTCATAGCAATAAACAGGTTTGGGGGACGTACACATGGGATGTTCCGTGCAAATCAAACTTTTGCATTTCGGACTGATTTTGGCCTTTGCGAAACAAAAACAGGCAGCGATGGTTTTGTGGTTTGCATTTTACTAGGGGACATTTGAGCGCTTATGGGGGGTGTTTGGGGGTCGGCGTTGCGTTTGGGATGGTGTGGGGGTGTATGGAAGAATGTTTTAGCAAGTAACCACCTCCTTAAACGGCAAGCAACTTCATTTCGCCCTCGGAGTCTTTCGTGTTGTGTGGCGGTCGGCTTGATCTTTAGCACGCGCGAGGAAGTATTTTTGTGACAACAACTGAAATTTCTGCTGAACAACACATTTTCAGTTTTGATTTTTCCAGTTTCCACCCAGTTATGGCAGATATGTGTAGAAACCGTTCCAAGTTAATGTTTTCGTAATTATCGCGGCACGAGAAAGAAATCAGCTGTTCTTACGAAATATAAGAGTTCTTGGCGGATGAGTTTTGGAATGAATTTCAAAAGCCAAATAAATTGCTATGTTCTTCCACACATTATGGAACGTTCAGGAGTGAACGAGTGTTTTCCACCTGTGGTAGATGTTTTTAAGTGATTACAAAACTTATAAAAAAAGCACAAAGCGGCGTTTGTTAACGCAATTTGTTTTGATTGCTAAACAAAAATTGTTGCAGCATTAAAAATAACAATGGAGGATTTTATAAGATGGTTACAACACTTGATTTAATGGCATTTTCAAGAAGTTTGCCCCCCATTTAAAATGTTTTTCGATTGTTGGTTTTTTTTTTTCAAGTGCTGTCGATAAAATTTCTCGACCCGTCAGTCTGATTTGCTGGATAAAGAACTTGGCTGAAAGCTTATTTTTATTTATTTATACATTAGATGTCTTTAACGCCACGGTGGTCTAGCGGTTAGAACGCTGGCCTTGTAATCCTGGGGGTCTCTGGTTCGATTCCCGGCGGTGCCCGAATTTATAACTTGTGTTGGGCAAGGCCGTGGTCTAGGCAACACGGAGTTTTCCTCCGTGGCATCCCAACAATTACTCCATTCACACACAGAAGAAGGCAATGGCAAACCACTTCTGGATCATCTGCCAAGAACGTATATGAACAGGTCCCAGTCCGAGAAAAGGATGGAAGGATCCTGTTCATATGGACCTGTCGTCAGACAGAACACTAAATAAATAATAATAACTTAATTAAGCACCTCTCCACGCAGACGTATGGGGAAGTGGACGTATAACTCCACCTATTCTTCACCTAGGCGCTAGATATGCACCAGACCCCAGGGGTAATCCAACATATAAAAAAAAATATCTTATCCTGCGCGCGCACATGGGGGCCTCCATCCACAATTTATGACGTAAGTACGTCGCAATTTCCATTTCTGGTTGTCAGAAAACACAAATGATTGCTGAAGAATCCTCTAAAGTGTAAGTTGATTGTCGAGATTCAAGGGCGAAACTTAACAAAAGAATTGCGCACTTACGGACAGACTGAAAAGTAAACGTAACATTCCCATGACACACAACGGATGTCGTATTACGTTGGCGTCGACAAGAATAACGCACAAGTGCATCCTTGGAGTGGCATCATCCACTTACAGAACCAGTGATTGATAACGACGTCCACATCTCTCTGTATACGGCATCTCAAGATGTGGAGGGCCAGATTTTCAACACATTTGAAATGCAGGATAAACCTTCGTCCTTTAACTAGTTAAAATAGCTTTCTCAATGGCGTCTGCCCGCTAACCTGGTCATTAAGGCTTTGACCGGGATGTTCTTTTGTTAAATCTTATGTGGTACCGCCTGATTCGACTTCTAATGGTTAAGTGAAGTGTTTTCTTCGCGGTACGGTCTGGATTCGTAAATAATATTCAGACGATCTCCGGCTAAAAAAGGGTTAACCAGCTGATTTTCGTAATGGTGAGGTGTAGTGTTTTCTTCGCGGTACGGTCTGGATTCGTAAATAATATTCAGACGATCTTCGCCTTCAAAGGGTTAAAGTGCATATAGTACACTGTAACACCCACACAGCAGAAATGCCTAACCTACATCGTTTCATCAAGATCTGTCAAATTACCTAAAATACGCGAGTTTAAGTTTTTCTAAGCTTATATGAGGATATGATGACGTCATAACATGGTAACGTTCGTGTAACGTAAAAGTCTTATATCAAGTTTCGTCAAAATTCATTAAATGGATCAACAGATACAAACATAAGTTTAATTAGGCCCTTAAAACGAATTAGATTGAACGAAATACTTGATAAGATTTCAGGTTCTCAAGGCGACGGATATTAACATGCCTGACTTCTGACATGGTGTTTAAAAGGATCCTACTGCCTCCATCATCAGCTTTGTGACAAGACAGTAAGGCCCTATGTAACAGAGTCGCCGATTCTTATAAAATAGGTCAGAGCCTCAAAATATATGCGAATAGGTTAATTTATTAAGTCCAGAAATGAAGCCCTTGAAATGAAGCAGGAAACCTTACTTGAAACGTCAGTGGCTGGTACAGAGTTACGAAATAATTTGTCGACGTGCTGGAAATGCAAGCATCACGAAGATTCAATTAGGCTAAGTGACGTAGCCCTTAGAGTGGTTAGAAAACAAGCTAACAATCACGATCTAAGAGGCTTACAAGATCAAGTACCCTTTACCAAGTTTCTTTCGGCTATTTTAAGTGCATTCAAACGTGTAAATAATCCAAGAAAAATTATCATTGCAATGTACAAAACCAAAAACAAGATAAAAATTTAAATTAAAATTAAATTATTTGGTTATTCCGTCAAATCACAATGTATTTAAAATAAGAATAATTAAAATAATTAAAATATTTTAATTATTTTAATTATTCTTATTTTAAATACATTGTGATTTGACGGAATAACCAAATAATTTAATTTTAATTTAAATTTTTATCTTGTTTTTGGTTTTGTACATTGCAATGATAATTTTTCTTGGATTATTTACACGTTTGAATGCACTTAAAATAGCCGAAAGAAACTTGGTAAAGGGTACTTGATCTTGTAAGCCTCTTAGATCGTGATTGTTAGCTTGTTTTCTAACCACTCTAAGGGCTACGTCACTTAGCCTAATTGAATCTTCGTGATGCTTGCATTTCCAGCACGTCGACAAATTATTTCGTAACTCTGCCATACCAAATTTTGACAACAAACAACATCACAACTCTAAAACATGAACACGTCGCACAAGTGACACTTCGAAAACATTTCACGATAAAATTAGAAAACCCCGAAATTGGAATTTAATTAAACGCATTTAACTTATGTAAGATCTGAGGTTTTCACGGCGGTAAAAAAATAAAAAATATCTAGACTTCATCCGCAGGGCGGCTATTAAAAGTGAACCCACTAAATGACGACACACCGGATAAATGCAGATGGAGAAGCTGATTGGGCCAAGAAAGACTGCTTTCGATCCTGTCAGAAGCAGATACGTAAGATGCAATAAGGAGTTTACGTAAAAGTCGAGAGAAATGACCATGAATTCCATTAACATTAATCACTTAAAAGTTGGCATGTACTGCAGATGACAGACATGTAAATGGTAACTGAGGTGAAGCACGAAATACTATCACAAGACGCCTCGGAGGAAGGCTGGTTGCAGAGGGTTATAACTACCAAACATAACAGCCAGAGCACTCAAGGGGAACAAGAGAATTATGAGGGAGAGGCGACGATCTAAAGGATGATCTATGATAGTTCTTTCCACGGCCTGAGTTAAAGGACGAACTCGTAGTTCTCTTGTTTCGTTGTTTGCTAAGATGACAGGGACGTTTCTGGAAACACGCTTACACAGCCGTTGAAAACGCAGTCCCGGAAATCGTCTGGAGGATTTCTCGGACTCCGGGAAAAGTCGGTTTTCAGGTAAGGTCAGGTTCAAGGTCATCTCAAAAACCACTTTCGCGATACAAAACTGCAATCCTGCAATGTATTCGAAGTGCGGATACAGAGCAGACGTCAACTGTTAACAGGGCCAAAACAAGTCGAGGTGGGAGACGATGTCACGCGTTCAAGAACAGGAGAGAAAAAGTCCGGGCCCGGAGGCGGACGACTTACCCTAGTATGTTGGGATGCGAGAGTTGGTTCATGAGTTGTACTTCCTTCAGCATGTTCGGACGGTTGGATCGGAGTAAGTTCATTTTCAGAACCATCACTTGGCCAGTTGTTCGATGAGTTACCTGCAACAACAGATTGGCACCCCTTAATTAATTAATTAATTCCAAATATGCTTTCCAGAGGCTACTACGAAATTTATGTTATTTATTTAGTGTTCTGTCTGACGACAGGTCCATATGAACAGGATCCTTCCATCCTTTTCTCGGACTGGGACCTGTTCATATACGTTCTTGGCAGATGATCCAGAAGTGGTTTGCCATTGCCTTCTTCTGTGTGTGAATGGAGTAATTGTTGGGATGCCACGGAGGAAAACTCCGTGTTGCCTATACCACGGCCTTGCCCAACACAAGTTATAAATTCTGGCACCGCCGGGAATCGAACCCGAGACCCCAGGATTACAAGGCCAGCGTTCTAACCGCTAGACCACCGTGGCATAAAATGTCTAACATCGAATGCTAATTTGGAAAATACGCTGAATTAAGATTTGATTCCGTACTATCCGGGAGAGACTGAAGAATACTGCGAAACATCAGCTGGCCTCCAGCAGAGTAACACTAATAATCAACCTTGACGTTCGATCACCATTAATTCAGAGTCATAAACTATTTATACCGTCTAATTGCTATTCTTAGAGACTAAGTCTCTTTTGCCGCCAAGGGGCCCACTGTCCAGGTACCTCACGACACATGAGTGAATATGGACCAGGGGGTCAATTATGTAGACGGGGCAAAACGCAAGAAGTTGGAGAGAATCTTGTCTTAGTGTCATTATGTCCACCACAAATCCCACGAGGACTAACCGCCTTGTCTATAACACGGTCTATTTCCTCAAAAACATTTGGTATAACATGTTATGTATCCGTGTGTATGAAGTGGTTCGTGATTAAAACATTAGCACGTACAAGAATTCTTTACGGGCCATCTGTCATCTCACCACTTTATCTGGAAAAGATTAAAATATTAATACAGTGTAACCTCGATATAACGCGGATTTCTGGGGGGACAGCTTCAGTACCCTCGTCATAAGTGAAATTAGCATTTATCTAATTTTGGAATCCGTGATATCACGTATATTTATCCAGTGACTAAAATACATTAAATTTAAGGCACATTTCAAACGTATGTTTCATCACGGCCTTGCCCAACACAAGTTATAAATTCGGGCACCGCCGGGAATCGAACCCGAGACCCCAGGACAAATGCTTCGTATTTTTGGTGATCCTGTCTTCAAATTTCCACCGGTAAACAGACTATTCTGATATTCGCTGTCAAATTCCGGTACTGTCCCTTACATCGGACGACCATCGCTTCCTCCCAAGTTCTTTTCAATTCTTTTCTCATTAATTATATTGACATTCGACGCTATATAAGCTAGTCTAAGGTCCAGGCAGATTCCATAAATAAATACATAAATGAATATATAAATAAAACACAACGGGGCCTACGGAACTTGATAAACACACCGCCTTCAAAAATTGTTTCAATATTTACCGTTTCTAAAACAGATGTTAATAGCGTACGCTGACAGTAACTCATTTATTTTATGGTAACTCAAACAAAGCGTGACCAGAAAAACTGCTTGAAAGTAGACAAGCATAAACGAGTAGATTAGTAGTGCTTCAAAAAATAATTAGACTTGCCTTCAAGCAATAAATGTTTGTGGACTTGTTATGAGCGTTTCATCTTCACAGACCTGCATCAGCGACAATATATAATATAATATATATATATATAAATCACTAGTATCTCAAGAACTTCATAACAGCGTTAATTTGTTAGAAATATTTTTAAAAATAAAAATTATCAAAATGTTCGTAACTCCATAGTAATACGTGCAAATTTTAATATAATTCATATCTGAGTGTATATGATGGTAAGCGATGTATATCTTAATAAGTATTTACGAAGACCAGTTATTTTTAGAAAATTTGTAGGATTATCCTGGAGGAATTTCTTTGTTCGACGTCGAAATATACAGCCAGATAAACGTGTTAGGGTGATGAAAGACTTTTATAGACAGCAAAACGATATTCTCACGTCCTGGGGCGAGAAAAATCCAAGATGAAGTAACTCATTTTGTTCTCATTTCTTAAGTTCGCTTCGCTTTTGGCTTTAATTTATTTTCCGGAGATCTTGAAAAGTTAAAGCAAACATAATATAATTAATATATAATTGCAATGTAAGATTAAAAAAAATTTGCCCTGTGATATTTCATTCAGCAGCTGTCTTCACAGAAGATTAATTTTTGCGTTTACAACAGACAGCTACCACTTTCGATCTTGAGTCAGAACAATCCAATCCACACACTCCAACTCTTCTATTTCCCTCACATCTACTTTAGTATTATCCTCCTATCTACGTCTGAGTCTTTCGAGTGGTCGCTTCCATTCATGCCAACCAAAATTGTAAAATAATTTCTCATCTCATACATGCATGCTACGTGCCACGCCAATCAATCCTTCTTGATTCTTAGAAAGTAATGTGACACAGTATGAATGCATTACAGACGCCACATCAGCGTCTGAACCAGGGCTATCATTTAACGACGATTATAAACTGTCCAAATTTTGAAACCTAATGGTAACTATATGTACCACCTTATTTAACAATCAGAAACTCTTATTTTTCATTTATGAGCTTCGTATGATGTTCATTATAAACAGCGATTATTTTCTTAAACAGCGTTAACCAGTTGATCTTTGTAATGGTGAAGTGTAGTGTTTTCTTCGCGGTACGGACTGAATCTTTAAATATTATTGAGACGAGCTTCGGCTTCAAAGGGTGAACCAGTTGATGCATGTAATGGTAAAGTGTCGTGTTTTCTTCGCGGTACGGACTGATTTCTTAAATGTTATTCAGGAGAGGTTCGGTTTTGAAGGGTTAATGAACAGAGATCTTTCATTATCAGAGGTATCGATCGGTGGCTTTAGAGATGCTAGCGTAGGCTAAAACGCGGGGCCTGTCCTGCTGTACCCCACACCTGTTGCTTGAGCTTACCCGACACTCCACGCACAGTCGCCTAAGAACTCCTTTCGAGTGAAATTCCACTCAGCCGCAACATTTCCGGAAGTTCGAAAACAGCATAAAAAATATCCATTGAAATTTGTAGCTTGTCGACTAGCGTGGTAGAAGACCAACTTTGGTAGGAGTTAAGGGTTTCTTGACGTGGTTACAGGCTTTCTGCTTTTGACAGCTATATATTGCTTCTCTGTAGTAGCTGAAATCATCTCCGCGGGGCTAAGGGCAGGGGTGGACAAACGATTAGGCCAGCAGGGTGTCAGAACGTTTCCACGGTGCGGTCAGCTTTTTAATCGTTATTACCCGTTCCATGAATGTGTGCCCGAACTTCGTGACCGACTAATTAGCAATCCTACCTCCCATTCTGGAGGTCCCGGGTTCACATCTAGGTCCGGAGACTGGTATTCCTAGCTTTCGTAGTTTTTCTCAGTCCCCCCCAAGCAAATACTGGGACATAACCTCACATCCACATCCTTTGCAATTCATTAATCATCCTGTCATTAGACGCTGTTTTCGCTGTGGTGCTTGCGTCGTTAAATACATCATATAATAAATTATGTTAAATTTTGGCGACACGTCGGTCAGAGCTCAATGATGATAAGACGATGTGATTGCACGGGCCTTCTTATGTACCCACGCGTTAATGTTAACGAGAATTCTAACTTACAAACGAACCGCGCTCACCGTCGTAAATTGTTCTGTCGTGGAAACCAAAATCTTGCACACGCACGAGCATATGATATTCATATATTAAAAATGTCTGCAGGGTGTCAGAACGTTTCCACGGTGCGGTCAGCTTTTTAATCGTTATTACCCGTTCCATGAATGTGTGCCCGAACTTCGTGACCGACTAATTAGCAATCCTACCTCCCATTCTGGAGGTCCCGGGTTCACATCTAGGTCCGGAGACTGGTATTCCTAGCTTTCGTAGTTTTTCTCAGTCCCCCCCAAGCAAATACTGGGACATAACCTCACATCCACATCCTTTGCAATTCATTAATCATCCTGTCATTAGACGCTGTTTTCGCTGTGGTGCTTGCGTCGTTAAATACATCATAAATAAATACGTAAAATAAATATCTAAAGTGTTATTTCTTAAGGTATTTGATGTTGAATTCACAATGCACGCTGGACTTCAACTTTTATTAAACGCTGTGTTGAAGTCTTAAGAACGCGGTTATCTTACAAGTAATAACGCCGTTATGGTATCTAAATCTTTTAATCCCTCTCTGTCATTCGGTGAAAAGCCAAGGTAAGCGATTCGGATAGTACCATCTGCTACCACATCCCCTTAACCACGGAATTTGTAGCCACTCAAGAACTGGCGTAGAGATAGTGTAACACGCAATGCGCATGCTCTGTTCAGTACTACCGTCCAAAATAACATTAACCCCGCATCAATACCGGACACGGAGTATAAATTATGAAGCTCCTCATAATTTATTCGGTTTGTGTTATTTTATTACGTAATAAACAAA